GCCTGCTTGGGGCCCACCAGAGTGGGAATGACCCCGTTGAAAACGAGGCGGAGGAGAACCAAACTGATTCGGTAGCCTCTTTCTACAGTGTGCAGGACCCATGAGACACATTTGGCAGAAGTTTCCACGCTGCCAAAAAGGTCTACTAAGGGAATCAGTCTCTCAAGACTGACCTCTGGTGTAATCAAAGCGGCTAGGTTGGTGTCCTGAAGCGGCGAACCGGCAGGGAACGGCCGAACTAGCTTCTAGAAACCTCTGATGAGGTAGCGAGCCTCTTAGTACCGCTACGTTTCCGGGCGGTGATTGAGAGAAGCGCTCGCCGGAGACCGTTGCGCCCCGAAATACCGTAGGTGGCAGGGTTGGCAGATTGATCTCCTGAGGGCACTGAGGAGAGAAGGGCACAGTATAATGAGGTGTACACCGCTCTTCCCCAGAGGGGGCCGGCCCTCAGAAGTCCTGGGCCCTAGGCATCAGGACGTTTTAGTCGAAGACTCTCCAGCGAGAATGACGGTCCGCAGATCCGCCTTCTCCAACCCGTCTGCCTGATCATGTGCGATCCCCGCGATCTCAATCGCCTCCATGCCTCAGCACCAGCGGGACCGGAACCGCAAAATCACAGGCACGGACACACTCCTTGGAGCATGCCCGGCAAGAGTGGAGCGTTTAACAGCGGGAAAAGCACAATCAGCCCCCTATCTTTTTCCTCCGAGAGCTGACTGCGCGAGCTCCACTCCCCAGTAATGCTGCTCATTATAATATTAGGCATAAAATGCTTGTGTAACTGATGCTTGTGCAACTGGCGAGCTCATCGACGCCCTCCATATCAACCTCCTTGGAGGAAGACAGGCGGAGCGTAGAGCCCTCTCCCCGGGGGGAAGAACCGCAGCACGGACTTCCAAACCAGTCTGGAAAAGGTTATAAAGCCATTTCTAAGGCTTTGGGACTCCAGCGAACCAGCTGCTCTAGAGACCTCCGTGGAGGTCGCAAGCCTCTTAGTACCGCTACGTTTCTGGGCGGTAACTGAGAGAAGCGCTCGCCAGAGATCGCTGTGCCCTGGAACACCGGCAGGGTTGGCAGACCGATCTCCTGATGGCACTGAGAAGAGACGGGCACCGTGTAATGCGGTGTACACCACTCTTACCCAGAGGGAGCTGGCCCTCAAAAAGTTCTAGGACTTAGGCATCAGGACGTTTAAGAAGAAGATTATCCAGCGAGAATGACGGTCCGCAGAACCGCCTTCCGCTAGAAGCCTTCAGCCTGGGAGCGCCACTCTGACTCTAGACTCTGTAGAGTACAAGAAGTGACGCCCCCAGAATGAGGAGCTGGAACTCAGTAGGTTGGGACTGCTCCCGCCCAGCAGCCCCTGCTGACCACCTCAACCTCCTCGGAGGAAGAGACTAAACGCGTGCTCTCACTCGAAAAAATTTTATCCCAAGAGCCCCTGTATATCTAACTTCTCATAGTCAGATAAATACTTCATTTTTTTCCTCAGAATTAAATGCAGTCAAACAGCCAGATGAGTAAATACGGTCTGGTGTGGTAAGATTCACATCAAAAACAGAAATGATGTAATATACGCATTGCCTCGGCAGCGTGCGAGCCGCTCAGTCACACAAACAATATCAATCTCCTCGGAGAAAGATGGCTGCAGCAGCGAACTCTCACTCAGAGGGGGAAGAAACTGCAGCACGGGCTTCCAAGCCTCGAGAACAAGCGCTAGATCTAGGGAATGCGGGTTAGTGCGGTCTCCAACCCGTCTGCCAGATCATGTGCGATCACCGCGATCTCAGTCACCGCAATGCCTCAGCAGCAGCGGGACCGCAATCACAAGATAACAGGCCCGGACACACTCCTCGGAGCGTGCCCGGTGAGAGCGGAGCGCTTAACAGCGGGAAAAGCACAATCAGCCCCCTATCTTTTTCCTCCGAGAGCTGACTGCGCGAGCTCCACTCCCCAGTAATGCTGCTCATTATAATATTAGGCATAAAATGCTTGTGTAACTGATGCTTGTGCAACTGGCGAGCTCATCGACGCCCTCCATATCAACCTCCTTGGAGGAAGACAGGCGGAGCGTAGAGCCCTCTCCCCGGGGGGAAGAACCGCAGCACGGACTTCCAAACCAGTCTGGAAAAGGTTATAAAGCCATTTCTAAGGCTTTGGGACTCCAGCGAACCACGGTCAGAGCCATTATCCAAAAATGGAGAAAACTTGGAACAGTGGTGAACCTTCCCAGGAGTGGCCGGCCAACCAAAATTACTCCAAGAGCACAACGACGACTCGTCCAGGAGGTCATAAAAGAACCCAGAACAACATCTAAAGAACTGCAGGCCTCACTTGCCTCAATTAAGGTCAGTGTTCATGATTCAACAACAAGAAATAGACTGGGCAAATATTGCATCCATGGGAGAGTTCCAAGGCAAAATCCACTCCTGACCAAAAAGAACACAAAGGTTCGTCTCACATTTCCCAAAAAATTATTGATTATCCCCAAGACTTTTGGGCAAATATTCTGTGATGCAACAAAAGTTGAACTTTTTGGAAGGTGTGTGTCCCGTTACATCTGTCGTAAACCCAACACAGCATTTCATAAAAAGGACATCATAGCAACAGTCAAACATGGTGGTGGTAGTGTGATGGTCTGGGGCTGCTATGCAGCTTCAGGACCTGGACGACTTTCCATAATTGATGAAACATGAATTCTGCACTCTATCAGAAAATCCTGAAGGAGAATGTCCGGCCGTCAGTTTGTGACCTCAAGCTCAAGCACACTTGGGTTATGCAGCAGGATAATGATCCCAAACACACCAGCAAGATCACCTCTGAATGGCTCAGGAAAAAACAAATTAAGTTCAACCAGATGATCCAACGGTAGCTGCACGGATCTCAGGCTGCCTGGCGGACATCTCGGCATGGATGAAAGAACATCACCTACAGCTCAACCTGGCAAAGACTGAGCTTCTTGTCTTCTCTGCCACTCCAACTCTACAGTACGATTTCTCCATCCAGCTAGGTTCTTCAACAATTACCCCATCAACTTCAGTCAGAAATCTTGGCGTAACCTTAGATGACCAGCTGACCTTCAAAGACCACATTGCAAAGACTGCTCGATCTTGCAGGTTTGTATTGCACAACATCAGAAAGATCAGGCCCTTTCTAATGGAGCATGCTGCACAACTTCTTGTTTAGGCCCTTGTCATTTCTAGGCTGGACTACAGCAATGCTCTTCTGGCTGGACTTCCATCA